TGAAACTAGATTAAAAAAAGAGACCAGGGTTTAGCATGGCAAAGGCAAAGCCTATCTATAGGAATCCCTAATTGTGTCATTTGCAGTAACAACACCCCATGTGCACTGTCATTCACAGCTCTACTTGGTTTCCAGGGAACAACTAAAGGGGGTACCAGAATCATATGGAACATCCTTTCAAACTTGTGCTTCCCTGCTTCCCTTCACAAAAAAACAGTCCCATAAGAAGTTCATTTCTGACAAGTTGAGCCCAGACTTCCTGGCTAGAATAACATGCTTAAGATGTTATGAAAGTTTCAAGTTTCCCTGAACTTGAGAGTAGCATGGGGGAAAAAAAAAGTTACAGGAGAGAAAACAGTAAGATGGAAGAGACTTGAGCAATTTATTTAATTTTCCTATCTCCAAACAGGATAAAATCAGCAAAATCATTTATAATTCAAAGAATGTCTTCAAGCATCATGTATATGTAAAGCTCTATGCTGGGTATGAAGAACAACACATGAATAAATCAAACACAGATTTTGTGTGGAGAATAATACATTAGTGTGGAGTTAAAAGACCTAGATTCTCATCCAAAATTAATTTCTGATTCACAATTTATGTCCTCATGTGTCTATTTTTCCAGCTAGAAATGAGTTTAGCAACTGTTTTAAATACTGTTTAAAAAATACATATAATTACTAATTAGCAACCTTCATCTTTTACTTTGACAGTGCCTAAAAACTTCTGGAAGGTTCCTCTGAGGCAAGAATGTAGATAGCATTAACTTTAATGAGTCAACAAGACTTGGATTCCAATTCTAGCTCTGCCACTTTACTATCTATATGACCTTAATCTTGAGAGCCTCCATTTTCTCACCCTAAAATGGAATTTTTCACAATACTGTAGTGTGTGTGTGTGTGTGTGTGTGTGTATTAGATAGAGGGTGAGAGGAGGATGAGGAGAGGGAGAGGGAGAGAGAGAGGGAGAGAGAGAGAGAGAGAGAGAAAGGGAGGGAGAGAGAGAGAGAGAGACAGAAAGAATGAATAATTGCAATTGCTATTCCACTAATATCTTTACTGAAAAAAATGTTGAAAAACATCTGACCACAGGACAAATGAGGACAAGATAACATGAGAATCAGTAGTAATCTGGGTGGGGGTAGGACAGTTAATGAATAATTCAAAGTAAGGAACAAAGATAAAATTTAATAAGCCAAATCTAGTACCAGTCATGGATAAAATATCAGAGCCTATATGAACCACAAGTGGATGGGCATAATGGGACACCCTGTTTAGATTCCTACCAGAAACTGTGTATTCCCCAACATACCAGTGCGAACCCCAGAACCCCAGGCTCGCCTGAAGCTATGCACCTGCACATTTGCCTGGTTCCTGGATATGCTGGAATAAGTTTTGCCAGAAATATACAAAATCTTTTTTTTTTTTAAAGAGAGAGTGAGAGAGAGAGAAAGAGAGAGAGAGAATTTTAATATTTATTTTATGGTTTTCGGGGGCACAACATCTTTTGTTGGTATGTGGTGCTGAGGATCAAACCCAGGCCGCACACACGCCAGGCAAGTGCGCTACCGCTTGAGCCACATCTCCAGCCCATACAAAATCTTTATGAACAAGATAGTCATACAATAGTGATAAACCAACACCTGACAATAAGATATGTTATACTGTTGAATAAAATAACTCAACATACAAAATATTGATTCCCATAAGAATAATCTAGATAAATCATTGGCTCTAAGAAAAAACACAATAGATTTTTCTTCTTTTACAAAATTATACAAGCCAATTTTCAGATTTATATATAATAATAATAATAGGACAACTCTGAAAAAAGAGCAAAAGGGCAAGTAGTGCTTGCCCTACTACTATTAAAATATATTAAGCCAGGTTGTTACTGAAGTTTGAATAGAGAAAAGATCAATGGTTAGGGGGTGACAGAAGTCCAGAAATGCACCAAGCTGTTCTCAAATTATAATGAGATGCCCAAGTAACCCTACGTCACATTGTATAAAAATAAATGAAAACAACAACCCAGAAATAAGCGAATTTTAGAATGCTGTCAGACTTAAAAAGGTGTTGTTAAAAATAGAAAATATTTTTTATAAATTCAGAATGGAGATGAATTTTATAAATATTATTGATGATACACAAAGTAGTCATTAAATAATCATGAAATAAACCTATCTTGAAAAATAATTTTTTTGCCTGTTATATCACTATGTACAATAACCAGAAGTTGCATTAGTGGAGAAAGTACAGGGGAATAGGTCTTCATCTGTGCTGATAGTAGATTGTAACTCTGGTACACCTCTGTGGCCCTATGCTGAACAATTTGGCAATACCTTTCAAAATCATAAATACACCTTCTTCAAACCAGAGCTAACTCTGGAGTCCCTTTTTTTGTTTGTTATTTTTATGTGGTGCTTAGGATCGAACCCAGTGCCTCACATGTGCTAGGCAAGTACTTTGCCGCTGAGCTACAGCCCCAGCCCTAGAGTCCTTTTTAATCAGACAGAAGTACTTGCAGGAATATGACTTTTTTAAAAAATTCTTTTAAATTTTTTTTAGTTGTAGATGGACACAATACCTTTATTTTATTTTTATATGGTGCTAAGGACCGAACCCAGTGCTTCCCACATGTGAGGCAAGTGTTCTACCATTGAGCTGCACTCCCAGCCCCAGGAGTACGACATTTTGTAAACAAAAGGAATGAGATTGATTTCTCTGTTCTTATTTGTAAGGATCTCTTTTAAAATTGTTAAATTTAAAAGGCAAGACCAAGCCAGGTGTGGCAGCACACACCTGTAATCCCAGAGACTTAGGAGGCTGAGGCAGGAGGATCTCGAGTTCAAGGCCAGCCTCAGCAACTTAGTGAGACCCTATCTCAAAATAAAAAATAAAGGGCTGGGGACATAGCTCAGTTGGTAGAGTACTTGCCTCACATGCACAAGGCCCTGGGTTCAATCCCCAGCACCTCAAAACAAAACAACAACAACAAAGGTGAAAATAAAAAATAAAAAGGGTTGGGGTGTAGCTCAGTGGCAGAGTGGTCCTGGGTTCATTCCTTACTACCTCAAAAGGAAAATAAATAAGATAAAAAGCAGGGCATACATCAGCATGTCTCATATATAAAACCAGGAAATATGTACTTTAAGTATAAATGGTCTGGAAGGATGTGTGCAATACAATTAAAATTGGTTGCCTTATACAGCAAAATACTTATATAAAAAGTATTCCTTACTGGACACAAATCTATGCATAGCACAAGAGGGAAAACTAGAAGGGGTTAACGGAGGGAGGCTGACTTACATTTTACTGCAAATTCCTTTATACCATGTAAATGTGTTAACCTACTCAAAAAAATCAGTAAAACTTTTTTTTTTTTTAAACTAAGTACAGAGTTTACCCTAAGGGAAAAGGTAGAGTAGAATTCAGAGAAGAAACAATACATTTTTAAATCTAAAATCCATTACACTCCTCTCAGCCACTCTTCAAGGACACTCCTAACACACAGACTCTGAGCTTGGCCTCACCAGGGCAGGGACTCAAAAGCTCTGTGGCAGCTGTCGCTTCCCAAGAACAACAAATCCCTTTTCTGCACTTCTTTGGAAATACCATGGAAAAAGTATTTCTTTAGCATACTAAGCATATCTTTGGAAATATTGGCTAGATTTCCACAAAATTTACACATTACCCTTTGGATCACTGCTAAAACTAAAGAAGTGTGGCCTAGAAGCCAAAACTAAAGAAATGCATAGAATGATGGGATATCCTGTACATGCTACTGTATTCACTTTGCCTTGGTAAAAGGGTGGCTGGTAGAAGGAAATTAAAGCAGGAAAAAAATGAGTATATTGTACACAAATAATAACATTTAGCATTCTTTACTTATATAGCAAGTATTCCTTACTGGATACAAATCCATGCATAGCACAAGCTTTACACAAAAGAATAGGTCCATACCATGCAGAATATAACCCCAAGATGAAGTCTCTGCAAAAGCCTGACAGGCTGCTTGACTAAGGATAACTGGTAAGTTTTTGTTTTTGTTTCAATTTCTGGTTAGTATCTCTATCATGCAAGCTGAGAAAGAGCAATTTATAAAGAACATCATTTGTGGGCTGCAAAAAACCTCAAAGGCAAGGAAACACATTTTCAAGGTTAATTTCAGGGAAGTTTATATATTAAGTGCATACTTTTCAAGAGGGGAAAAAGACTAATATTCCTAAATCTTATATAAATCATCTTAATCTCATTCTAACTGCTTGATTAATTAGATCCAAAAGGGAAAACATTATGAGGAATCCAGAATAGGCAAGTTTTATGAACTATGTTTCATAGACACAGACTATGCCCCAAATCTAACCCATTAACTGTCTGCTAATGGCTGTAAGCAGCAAACTGGTCAAAGAATGTGGCTGTATCTAGAGATCATTTCCCACTATTATAAATAAAAATAAAGACTATGCCCACCAGTACTAGTCTGAGGCTACCATTTCCCCAGAAGAGAGCAAATCATTTTCATTTGATGTATAAGCAATTTAGATATTTAGTCCCACTAGTACAAGCTACATATTTACTAGGGGGGAAAAAAATCTCATGTACTCCACTAAACATGAAGCATTTTTTTCCTCCTATTAATCCTTATAACAAACAATGCTTAAAAAAATTGGCTGTAAACATTACACATAGGAGACACAATTTTTTTTTTAATTAATAGTGGTGGATGGCAAAAGACTTTCTTTTCAACTTCCCCTAAAATTCAAGGTTCAGGGCCAGGTAAAAAGGCATGCAAATGAGACCACAGCCTCCTCAAGCTGGACACAGGGCATGCCTTGGCTGCAGAAAACATGTAAGTAGCAGTTATAGGTTTTCATGCCAACAAACTAAGATTAACAAGGATGAGTAGAGTCTGGATGGAACGAAGGCACAAGTTTTTTGCCTTTTTGATGCAGACTCAAAAGCCACAAGCGCACACATTTTGTCATGACAGGTTCATACCACTGGACTTCAGGTGCTTGGATCTCTCTCGTTCCTGGGTTGTAGATTTTGACATAAAAGGAGTAAGTCCTCGGGACTTGGTAGGTCTCATGTAGCCTTTCATTGGTTCTATTATTCTGCTTTTATCTTCCTTCTTTCCTTCTCCCAGTACCTTTGATTCCGATTTTTCTGTCATTTTCTGAGGCTCTTTCTTGATGTTATCTTTGAGTTCTGGGAGTTGAAGATCCTTGGAAGCAGCCATTTCTAACTTATCTACCACCCCTGAAAGAGGAACTTCAACTTTGCCACATGAGAAACTGGACTGGAGTTCTGGTGTTGGTGGGGAAACACATTGTAATTTTGTGACATCAGAAGCCAGTATAATTTCTTTAAATTTATCCTTTTCACTTTTTGGAGGCAAGGGAGTCATATCAACCTCCTTATTCAAATAATCTGGGCCCTTAGAATCTCTATCTTTAGTATCTTGGTCCTCGTGGTAACTGATCTTTTGTGCTTTGTCTCCCAATAAGTCAGAAATTGGAGCAGAAGTAGAACCTTTCTCAGTCTCCTCCTCTGTGTTCACTGAAGATGTTTGGAAATCACCCCTATCTCCACATGCTTCTAGGACTCTGTTCTCTCCTGGCAAGCCCTGGTCATCTGTGGGAACTTTAGGAAGAAGGTGCCCTTTTTCTGGCCCTGGGATTTGCTCTACTGAACAGATAGATTCACCACAGAGTGGCAACTCAGATTCTCCTACCACATGCCCTTCATCTACCCCTGCTTCATTTTTCATGGGAACAGCAAACTCACTTTGATTCTTAAGACAGCCATCTTCCTGACTATTCACTGTTTCTATGGCTGCTGTAAAAGGCAGGGCAATTCCTTCTGTGCTGGCAGATGGCATAACAACAGAGGGAGTCTTGGGTCTTTCTGGCCCTGGGACCCCATCTTTGTTGCAGTTATTTTCCACTAATAATTTAGAAAGCTGAACTGGGGCTCTCTCTTCCCCATTTTTTGCCAAGGTGTCTGGTAAGGAATCATTTTTCTTTACTACTTGAGGAGGAGTAGTGGGCAGTTTTTCACAGGCTGCTGATTCTACAGCCTCTATAGGAGCTGACTTATTCATGAGCCCTGACAGTGTTCTGGGACAGGTAAATGTAATATTTCTATTTTCGTCCACATAGCCCATTCCTTCAATTCTATGGTCCCCTGTGGTTTCCATGGGAACATGTATTTTTGTTGCATCTAACTTATTCTCCAGAATGTGCTTCTTGGGAAAACTATTTTTAACTTTTTTGCTTTTTTCATCACTACTCCTTTTATTTGGTTTGTCAGCCACTGCTGTGTGTCCCTTGGTTGCATCTGTCTTGTTCTCTTCAGATGCTATTGAGGGAGCAAATCCTGTCTCCTGAATTTGGTCTTGGCAGCTCACATCTGTCACCTTGGCAGCTGGTTCAATAATAGCAGAATCCTTGGCTGTATTTGTTTTGTTGCCCTCAGGGGCCTCAAGCTCAGCAGAATTAACCTCAACATTTTTACCTTTTTTGTCAAGTGCTTCCACTGTGTGTGTACCTGATACATGAAAGAATAAAGAATCAAGTATTTGGGGGGAAGTGTGTCCTAATTCCCTGTTTTTATAGGGAATGCTATCAGATACTTCTCCATCCTTCCCTACAAAAGGTAGATTAGGAATTTCCTCCTTGTCATCCATTCTAGTAGGTTCTATGGGATAATTAATTTTAGACTTTTTGTTTCTGCCTTCATTACTTCTCTTTTTAGTCTTTTCAGAAAACCAAGGAGTTGACTGATGACCCATCCAAGGACAACTTCCTTCCTTGCTCTGGTTACTGACACCTGTATTTTTGACTAAGGCTCCTCTTTCTGACCTAGCATCAGAAGTCCGAGTCAAGGTTGATCTATTTTCCAAAGGAATCCATGCCTGTAAAGTGCTTTCCACGCTAGGGTCTATTATCTCCTTAGGCTCTCTCATCACTACTGCCTCAGTAAAATCAATCATGGTTCCTGGTTGCTTTGAAGAATCTAATCCCAGCTCATCTCTCTTATCCTCAGTAGTCACTCTTTTGGTTTTAAGAATTGGTTCACTTAACCCAAGAACAGCCCTTCCATCATTCTCACTGTCTACAACATATAGCAGGTCAGATTTAATTCTTGGCTTCCCAGAATTCATTCTCACTTTCCCAGAACTTCCCCTTCCCTTCCTGTTTTTGCCATCACCTGTCATTCTCTTAAACGGATCATTCCCTAGCCCAGGAGCCTGAACTGACACTTGGCCCTGCAACTGCTCAGAAGCCAAGATGTTGATTTCCTCTCTTTGCTTGGGAAATGCTTCCCTTTCTAGTTCTTTAACTTCTACAGATCCTTTAAGAAACACTTTCTGGTTGACATTCTGTAGTTTAGACATTTTACTTTCATCATTCTCTTCTTTGAGACTATCTTCTAATGGATTACTTGCTATCAAAGTTGTTATCAAATTAGGCAATTCTTTTGCTGCTCTAGGTTTTGAAACTCCACCCACAACCTCTTGGTTCAAGATAGGAGAGCAAGCCTCTTTGGAGCTGATCTCCAAAAGAGTTTCAGCTTTATTTTCAGAAATTTCTGTCAGGGATCCTGTCAAGTTAGGAAGGCCCACTATCTGGCCTTTATCCACAGGGGTCTTCAGGAGGGATGCAGGTTGTGGTTTGTATTCATCCGGCTGCAACAATTTCTTATCTTGGTTATGTGGCACTGATTTGTTTCCTCTGCCAAGTTCCTCTACTCTCAGCTTGGACTGAGAATTTTCTGCAGTTTTTGGAGATTCTTCTGGACACAAAGTAACTCTGAGACTCTCTGAAATAAAGTTTTCACCTTCTAGTTTGGTTGCTCTAGAGTCACCTCCATCTCCTCTTTTCAGATTCTCTCTGGATACAAGTCCATATTCTATGTTCACAGCAGTGGACTGACTAGGGAGGACACCTGATTTATGGGTATAACTGTTATGCCCTTCTGCACTGTCATCATTCCAAGATCCCCCAGCCCGGGGTTGAGAATATCTCTTTTGCTTTGGTTTCTTCTTTTTTTTCTTCATCGCCATTGGCATGCTTTCTATATCCCAGGCCTCCCTGCCGAGATCCCTCTGGGGTTCAAGGAAGTCAGCATGAATACTTTTCCTTTGGTTCCCAGGATAACCACAGGAAGATGAACCAGAGACCCAACCCGACTCACACAAAGGGAAAGGGCCTAGCCTGGGATCAAGAGTCTTCTGTGGAGTCAAGACTTTCAGCAGCTCAGGAGGGGCCCTGGTAGGCTTGGGCTGGGCTGACCTGCAGTCACTGGATCTGCAACCTTGTGTGCCTTGTGAGGGAGGGGCACCTGCAATACATGAAGTTGGCTAAAATTCTAAATAACAAGCTTCTTGTTATTCTTTCTTAAAAAAAAAAACAAAAAACAAGAGCTTATTTAGTGACTCATTTAAGCTGTCTGTTTCCACCAATCCATATACTAATTTCTTTAGGAAAACCATTTATTCCCAAACATTTCTTATTCTTAATTGGGATTACCATTTCAGGTAAGAATTTTTTTTCAAACACATTTACAAAATATTTCAAACTTTTCTTTTTTCTTTTTTGTTACCAGGGATTGAACTCAGGGACACTCGACCACTGAGCCACATCCCTAGCCCTATTTTATATTTTATTTAGAGACAGGGTCTCACTGAGTTGCTAAGCACTTCACCTTTGCTGAGGCTGGCTTTGAACTCCTCCTAACTCAGCCTCCCCCGCCACTAGAATTATAGGTGTGCATCACTGTGCCCAGCAAAATATTTCAGACTTTCTAAACTCTGTAATAAACTCATTCACTACTTATAAATCTCATCTGATTTATTTCTCCTTGTAATTATTAATAGGTACACAAATCTCAATTCTAAACAAGATAAGAAATTGTACTTATTTCTTTTTTGGTGATGTTTACTAATTGAATGAATACTTATTCATGATTTGGGACAGAATTTATAATTCTAAGAGTCTGTCACCAATATTATACTTATGTGTATCCAATGAACTAGACTGATTCTGGGAAACAGACCCAGAAGGCCAGATTTATGCTGTTTAAAATTTAAAAAAAAGACTAAATAGTATTTTGGCCAGAGAAAAATTCTTATCATTCCAGAACCAGAACATCCTACTTTGAAAGACAAATGTGTTAGATTTCAATGTTCTGTTCTTAAATGTACTTCCCAAAAGACAAAGAAATATGCATAATGATTGTAAGCTGACAAGAATTTCAACAGTTAGGACAAGCACCCTTGGAAAAGTTTCATGAAGTAACACAATTTGGATCCAAATTCCTGGAAAGAAAATCACTAAAGGCAGTCTTCAATGGTTCCTGTCAAGTATGACCCAATAAAATGATTTCAAAATACTTAACTAGCACCTTTTGTTTTTGTCCTCATCCTTCCAATGTCCTCTAAATCCTTAATATCTAGGTTAATTTTAGGTTTTCTCAAAAAATTGTGAGCCCTAGCACCTCACAGTTTTTATTACACTTAATTTAGGAATTAATCAGCAGCAACTTGATGCCATCACTTACACTATTTTCTTCAATTATTATGTAAGTCTTTGTTTTAGAGTTCATGCCTGGGAACTTCTCTTTCTATTCAGGTTACAATATAATAATAACTCTAGGTGCTTCAATTATTTGGAAAACAGGAAGATCAGTGAGAACGAGGATGGATATCTATGTGCCTTAGGATGGTCTATCTTGTATACAATTAGCACTTACTTAAATCTTAGTACTGACATTCTCAGTCAGTAAAACAACATTTAAAATTCATTTATTTAGCTCCAACTTGCTGCTAGACAGTGTGTAAACTCTAGGGACTCTAAATGAATTAAGTCCGAGCACTGCCCTCAAGGAGCTCACATTCCTATCATAGCAACAGAAAAGTATACAGAGAATCATCAAGTTGACAATCATATGCACGTGTTCCTGGCTTATCAACAAAAACATGTAATCTTAGAAATCACTGACTGAGCAAACTTAAAAGTTTTACAGTATCTTAGAGCAGTATCCCTCAAAGTTTAATACATGTGAAAATTACTTGGGGTTGCTGTTAAAATTCAGATTATAATTCTATAAGTCTGAGAAAGAGTCCAAGATTCCACATTTCTAAGATGTTCAGTCACAGTGCAAATGCTATTGAGCCATGGAACACACTGTAACTAGCAAGACTTTATAGAACTTAATAGTTGAACAAACAGATATAGGCAAATAACATACCTAAGACTACTAAGGAGAGTCAACAGATAAAATAGACCAAAATTTAGTGTCCTGAGTTGATATAGCGGTGATTTTAAATATTTAACAAGTTGACCTTCTGCCTAAACAAAATGAAATCCATTGAAGAAAGGAAACTGACCTCATAAACTATACTGCTAATAACAACACAACCAGGAAAGTAGGGACAATGTCTACCAACATCACTTCAGTCGCTCCTAGTTTAAGCTGTTTTGAGAGTCCATTTGGTTTTCTCCACTTACCTGAGGTCTCTGAAGAAAGTTCAGAAGGCTGACTGCTGAATGGTTTCTTCTGTTCTAATTTCTCTAACACAGAATCTGGCAAGTTGTCCTTTTGGCCCAAGGCTATGACTGGTTCTAAAGGTAATAGTACAGATCACATGTGGGTAAGAGAGTAACTATTTCAGATATTTTTCCACCCATGAGAAATTAAAGGTGGCAATCATTTTTGAGGAATTCTCCTACAAGAGGCAGCAGAGATGAAGAGCACATTAAGAAGTAGTCAGGAGAGTTTCTGTTTCTATCTTTCAAGATGGGAAAAATGACAAACTCTTTTAAGTTGGGAATAATTCAGTGAAATGGCAGAAAACAAACTAATGGCTGGGGCAATATACTTGACTTGAAAAAGAGAAATGGGACCTATTACAAAATGAGGAGAGGTTGGCCTTAATTAGGAGCAGGAACAGTTATAAAAATAGGAGAGGGGGTTGGTGTTGTGGCTCAGTGGTAGAGTACTTGCCTCTCATGTGCAAGGCCCTGGATTTGCTCTTCAGCGCCACATGAAAATAAATAAAATAAAGGTATTGTATCCACCTACAACTAAAAAATAAATTAAAAAAAAAAACAACAGGGACTGGAATTGTGGCTCAGTGGTAGAGCATTTGCCTGGCATGAGTGAGGCACTGGGTTTGATTCTCAGCACCACATATAAATAAAGGTCCATGAACAACTTAAATATATGTATACATATGAAATAAAAAAAAAAACAGGAGAGAAGTCAGAGTATGGAGACAGATACAAACTGTGTAGATGAGCTAACAGACGATTGTGGGTGTTTTATTTTATTGCAATTATCTGGAAAATAGGAAGATCAGCAGATTGATAAGGTATTGGAGGTTGGAGGAGGGTAAAGGTAAGAAAGAGCTGTCTAGGAGAGTAGGAATATGAATAGATTTGCAAGGCACAGTGAGACTATTTATTTTAACTGGCATGATGCCTGTCCCTTAGTCTTCTGGAAGATAATAGTAAAGATCACATGTGGGTAAGAGAGTATTTTTCTGTGGATGATATAGTGTCCACTTGAAACTATACCTTGGTAAACAGAAATACTGAGAGGAAACAAAGCTCATACCTGGTGAAATCATGAAAGCAGGTGCAGCTAACTGCCCCTCTTTTTGGAGAGACTGTATCTGGGAATTTTCACTTATTCCTTCCTGAGTCTGGGCAATTTCCATGTCTTTAACTAGAACCGATGCCACCTCTGTTCCTGAGGGTGGTGCAACATCCTTGGCTGGAGTCACACTGTTGGCCAGGGTCATCTCTGTTCCAGGGGACAGAGCCACATCCTTAGCCAGGGCCACATCTGTTTCTGGAGGCAGCAGCATATCCTTGATCAAGGTTACTTCTTTTTCTGGGAGTGGAGTCATATCCTTGACCTGAGCCACCTCTACTTCTGGAGACACAGCCACATCCTTACCCAGGGCCAACTTTGTTTCAGAGGGTGTACCCATATTCTTGACCAGGGTTACTTCTGTTTCTGGGAGTGGAGCCACATCCTTGACAAGGCATACCTTTGATTCTGGGGACAGAGCCACTTCCTTACCCATGGTCATTTCTGTTACTGGAGGTGGAGTAATGTCCTTGTCTGCGGGCCCTTCTGTTTCTACTGCATCCTTCGTGAAGACTACTGTTGCTTCTGAAGGCAGTGTCATGTCCCTTGGCACAGCTACCTCTTTTTCTGATAACAAGACCATCTCCTCAGCTGAGGATTTTTCTGTGGATGATATAGTGTCCACAGCTAGTGCCACCTCCATTTCTGAAAATGATACCATACCCTTGCCTGAGATTGACTCTGTTTCTTTGGGTGATGCCATGCCCTCATGTGAAAATAAATCCATTTTTACAGGTGGTACTCTCTCTGTTTCTTCAAATAGTGTCACATCGTTGCCTGCAGCCACCTCTCTTTCTGTGGGCAGCACCATATCTTTAGTCAAAGACACATCTGTTTTTGCGGGTGATATGACATCCTTAACTGGGACCACTTCTTTTTCTATAGGTAGGACCATGTCCTTGACCAGAGACATATCTGATTCAATGGATGACTGCAAGTCCTTGGGCAGTGTCACATCTGATTTGGTGGGTTGTTCCATATCTTTAGTCAATTCCACCTTTGTTTCTGTGGCAGGTGCCATTTCCTTGAGCAGGGCTACCACTTTTTCTCCAGACGGTGCCATTTCTGTAGTCTTCTGTCCTATTATTATTTCCAATGCTTTAGTTGGTGGCTGTTCTTCTACTGATGCCATTTCTCCTTCCTTGGGTAACTCTAAGGGAAATAAATTAAAAATTTGGGACCCATCATTTTCTTTTTTTTTTTTTTTAATATTTTATTTTTTGGGCTGGGGATGTGGCTCAAGCGGTAGCGCGCTCGCCTGGCATGCGTGCGGCCCGGGTTCGATCCTCAGCACCACATACCAACAAAGATGTTGTGTCCGCCGAGAACTAAAAAATAAATATTAAAAATTCTCTCTCTCTCTCTCTCTCCTCTCTCACTCTCTCTTTAAAAAAAAAAAAAAATTTTATTTTTTAGTTATCGGCGGACACAACATCTTTGTTTGTATGTGGTGCTGAGGATTGAACCTGGGCCGCACGCATGCCAGGCGAGCACTCTACCATTGAGCCACATCTCCAGCCCCTGGGACCCATCATTTTCTACTCATACCTCTGCACTTAAAAGTCATAGGGCACAAGAATATTTGGCTATTGTGACCTTAAGACAAACAGGGCTGGGGATGTGGCTCAAGCGGTAGCGCGCTCGCCTGGCATGCGTTCGGCCCAGGTTCGAGCCTCAGCACCACGTACAAACAAAGATGTTGTGTCTGCCGAAAAACTAAAATAAATAAATAAATTCTCTCTCTCTCTCTCTATCTCCTCTCTCTCTCTATCTCCTCTCTCTTAAAAAAAAAAAAAAAAGACCTTAAACATCATTAAAAAGGTGTTGAGGGGCTGGGGTTGTAGCTCAGAGGTACAGCACTCGCCTAGCATGCGTGAGGCCCTGGGTTTCATCCTCAACACCAAATAAAATAAAATAAACATATTTTGTTCATGTATTACTAAAAAATAAATATTAAAAAAAGAAGCTGTTGAGTTAGTACATGCTGCCTACTCCTTGACAATCCCATCATTTAGAAGGATAAGACATGTGAAACTGAGAAGACAAACTGTGGAGGAGAAAAGGAAAACTATAGCTTGAAAACAAAGGTATGTATTAGTATTAGGAAGGGAACCTATGGAACTGCTGGTCAGTTATCTTTCCTATTAAGAAAAGAAGCCCAGAACTCTAGGCTTAGTGGTTAATTGAACCTGGGTTCAATTCCCAGAACCAAAGAGAAGGGATTTCCTCTTAAGATTGTATTTTAATTATAATTTAACTCTCCCAGCTCTGATATCTTTAATACAAGCTTAAAAACATTTGAGATAATTCTGAAAATTTTATGTGTCTCTTGTAAGCTGCTAAAAATATGCCCAATGATTTATACCAATTATCAATATTTCAATTACTAACTGATAAAGCAGATTTAAATAATTCACCTGTCATCTGTGGAAGATTTGCAGTGGCCTCTGGAGAAGCAAAGGACTCTGAGTATGGAGGGTTTGGGGCTTCCACAGACCACCCCTGAGGTACAACAGTTGCAGGAGCAAATGTGTCGCAGGGAGGCATACCTAATATCAAAACACAAAACACATTTTGAAATTTGGTTGACATTGAAGGAAAAAAAGGCATTTGATATTTTAAATCAAATGTATATATTGCCAAGAAGACATAGGTTTAAGGAACAGTAAAAAACAAAGTACAAAAGTTTTAAATGAAACACTGTTAACAATCTTCAGGTTTTGCGTAATTATTAACAGGCAGCATCACTATATCCCAGGAAGACCATGAATCAATATATACTGCCGACTTTTACAGGATATTATAAAGATTCAAAATATCAAAGATTGAGCTCTAGTAATACCACAATCAAAATAATATAATGCACAGTAAAGAAAGGTGAGCCTTAATTCATCAGTAAAATGAGATTAACACCTGCCTATATAAAAATTTTTTGTTAATTATTAACAACTAGCTGGATGTGGTGGTACTTATCTATAATCTCAGTGACTCAGGAGACTGAGGCAGGAAGATTGCAAATACCAGGCCAACCTCAACAATTTAGCAAGACTGTCTCAAAATAAAAGGAGCTGGGGATGTAGCTTAGAGGTAAAGCATCCCTGGGTTTGGTCTCCAGGACAACCCCCAGAAAACACACACACACACACACACACACACACACACACACACTAGGCAAATGACAAATATAAGTAGATTATTGTAATGCTTATCCTATGCCAGTCTCAACAGATTTAATATCAGTCCCTGCTGAGATCATTAAATGTTTTTGTGTTTGTTTATTTTTAGGAGGTAGGGTCTTGCTACGTTGCTCAGACTGGCCTCAAATTCTTGGCTTCGTGTCTCAGCTTCCGGAGTAGCCAGGATTATAGGCATATGCCACCACATCTGAGAAGATTATTACAATTTAGCTACAGAGACAAGTAGACAAATAGCAAACAATGCATACTGTACATTATGAACTAAGTGATATAGGAGTGCAGAAAGAACCATGAGGCCCAGACTATCACAAAAGGCTTCAGAAGAGAACCAAGAGCAGAAATAGAGGGTGGTCAATTTCAAAGACAGAGAACACTCTGAGCAAAGAAAGCATAAAGATGAGGATATTACTATTTATGATAACTAAGATTATTTAATGATTACTCTACCAGACACAATGCTAAGTGTTTCACATAATTTTATTTAATTGTCATCACTTCTCTAATGTAAAAACTAGTGCTGGCTCTGTTTTGTAGATTAAAAAAAAAAAAAAGAATTTAGGGAGGAAGTAATTTGCTCAAGGTCATGGGTCATGAGTGAATAAAATGTGGATGCAGAATTTGGCCCTAGGTTAGAGGTCTTATGAGAGGATGTCCATAGTCCCCGGAACAGCTTGACTGTGAATTTTCCTCTTTAATCTGGAATAAGCCTGGTCACAGTCAGAGGCCCTACATCTGATTTTGCCTATTAGTTAACATGAAAGATGATGGGTGAAAGCTCATATTAATTGAAGTTAAGGGACTATAGGAGACCAGAATATGCACCTAGATAGGCCACTTTGGCATAAGATTACATTGAATGCAAGTCAACTGAGAAGTAGATATGAAAAACAAAACAAAACAATAGGGGCTGGGGATGTGGCTCAAGTGGTAGTGGGCTCGCCTGGCATGCATGCAGCCTGGGTTGGATCCTCAGAACCACATACCAACAAAGATGTTGTGTCTGCTGAAAACTAAAAAATAAATATTAAAAAATTCTGTCTGTCTGTCTCTCTCTCTCTCTCATTCTCTCTTAAAAAAAAAAAAACACAAACAAATAGCAACAACACAAAACCCAACTCTTAGCTTTCCTCCTATTTGCCTAAAAGCAGGGCAAATACTTTCAAAAGTGTTCCTCCACCCTCTGCATCTTAAAGTACAAAGGTTGATCACTGAAGACAACTGTATGCTCTTATCAGCCTGGAGATGTCACCACAGGAATCTACATAACAAGTTTTACTCACTAGCCTTTATCACCTACTTGCACCCTCACAGTTTGCCACTAAAGACCCTGAAAAGTCCTTTTCCTTTATCTTTCTAATTCTCAAAAAAAGTATGGCTTTTTATCAAAGAAGCTATATAATTGAGTTCTAAAGCCACTTCTTTGAGATTAGTCATTCCCCAAATACCTTCCTTGTGTATATGAAATATACATGTTAATCTTCATTTTCTTTTTCTCTTTTGCTATACCTGCCCTAAGCAATAAATCTAAGAAGGAAAATTAATTTTTCTTCCCTACAGAATAATTCCAGCTAGAGAAGCCATACCGTAACTGTCTTCCAAAGGATTATTATGCCCTGTAAATGTCAAATCATTTGTTGTTCCACTGGAGAGAAAGAGCAAATCTGCTAGGCCGTCATCATGGTGCATCTTAAAGGGATCTAGAATAAAGAAGTAATCCAAAACTCAGTCCCAGTGAATGCAATTAGAAAGGTAAAGACATTTCTTATGACAAATATTGATTAGTTACATGTGTGTTGTCCAGTAGTAAAATAAGTTGAGATAACATGTGACTACACATGTAGGCAATCAATAAATACTCACTAATTCATTTGTTTCAAGTTAATAATATATAATCCCTTATTCCCATAAGGTTTGATTATCTAAATCACAGAGCCAACAAATGTATAAAACTGAGAGAACACTTAATGTTCAACTCTAACATTCTAAGAGGCAAAAATAAAGAAAATGGAATTTTCAATATATAATTTAGAGATTTTGTTATTAAATAAATCAGCTAGAATGTTTTCAGAACAAGTTTAAAAAGGGAAATTTTCACCTCATGTGGACATTGTGAAGAAAACTGTATTTCAAAAGCTCTCTGAATGGAGTTTGTCCTGAGAGAATGAATAAACTCTAGATTCAGGAGTTGGTATGAGTGAAGATACTCAAAAACATCAGTAAACTCTTTGTGCTTTCTTACATGAAAAACATAAAAAAGCAAAGCTGGTCAGGGAAATAATGAATTCTGATTTCTAAGGAGGCCTTCTCAAATTCTGTTTCCATGTTAAGGATCAGACCCAGGTCTTGAGAGCCTGCATGTCTAACTATTTCCTCTGATGAAGCTAATGCATGACTCCCTAACACACTGTCAACATCAGAGGCAAGTATGTAAAAACCCAGGTCTTGGGAAAATGTTCATTTCCTTGGCTCTGAGACAGCTAGACCACCCCTCTTTTTATAAAGGGTTTCAGGAGGGCTTGGGATGTGGCTCAAGCGGTAGTGCGCTCGTCTGGCATGCGTGGGGCCCGGGGTTCGATCCTCAGTACCACATACAAACAAAGATGTTGTGTCCGCCGAAAAACTGAAAATATTAAAAAAAAAAAAAAAAGAATTTAAAGGGTTTCAGGATTAGAGGAGACAGATACTGCATTGCAAAGTGTATTTTGAATAATTAGAAGGCATAATTGAGAAAGCTGGGGTCAGGGGTGGAAGAAGCCTTGAGGCTGCCTTTCAAATAAACAGGGAAGGATGTAAAGGCAATCTGGCTGTAACATCTGTTATGCAAGGTCAGAGACAGGATCATTTAGCAAAAGGATATATTTTTGTTCAAGTCAAGCTTGAAAAATACTTAAGCTAAATTTGAGAACTGAGTGGTTGGAGAAGGGCACACCTTTTCTCTATATTCCCTCTCATCCAATCTCACAGTTTAAAATTTCATTAATAAGCAGATGACACTCAAAATTTTATCACTAGCCCTCTAGAGCTATCCCCTTATTTCTTTTTTTTTTTTTTTTTTTTTATTTATTTTTTTAGTTCTCCATGGACACAACATCTTTGTTGGTATGTGGTGCTGAGGATCGAACCCGGGCCGCACGCATGCCAGACCAGCGCGCTACCGCCTGAGCCACATCCCCAGCCCATATCCCCTTATTTCTAGCCTTTAAAATAAAATGGCCTCTATGTATGTGCCCATGTGTGTGCAAGCACATGCTAAGAATGGATGGAAACCCAGGGCCTCATGTGTGCAAAGTACATAATCTACAACTGAGGTAGAGTGGTAAAGTATTCAAAGTATTTAATATATTCCAGCACCCCAACTCTTAATTTAATAAATCCCAAATGCAACATGTTTCTCAAACCTATTGTCCATGAGACAGGACAGAAATTAAAGAGATAAGAAGGAGACAAAAGGAAGAAAAGGGAAAAGACAACTTTAATGTGAAAACCTTGTGCTAAAGTTCCTCAGACCTTCATTCCCCAAGCAGTTCTCTCTTTCCAGGTCTATCACTCCAAGATTTCTGAGAATTCTATAAATGTTCACTCACAATTACTAGAAATTCAACCATTTGTGAAAACTGCCCCATGTTCACTAATTAGCCCACTAATACATGTATTTTTTAGAATATATTGCACAAAGGAAGATACAAAACAGTATAGGATACTTTCCCAACCCTACCTTTTCATCAGATAATGAAAAAGATATCAACCTAAGAATCCTGAATTTGCCAGATCACCATGACCATCTTGAGCTCACCAGACTGATGTTATTCTCACATACCTTTTTATGCCCACCCCTTACCCAGTTTCCTTTAAAAGAATGTGAGATTTCCCAAGTGTCTCTCATTAGTGAGGTGGCGCATGTTCTCCCTTGAATGTGTACTCTCCTTACTTTTCTAAATAAATCTCGGTGCCTCAATATCTGATGGATTGAGAAATTCTTTTCTATGCCATTTGTCCATGTCCAACTTTGGACCATGTTGACCTAAGTTGAAGTCCCCTTCTCTGGGACCTTCTTGGACCCCACATACTGGTATAACACAAAATCTTACCATATGAAATGGCATTCTATCCTTCTCTTGTTGGTAAACAATTTTGACCTTATCCTTGAAGTTATCCTTGACCTCTGAATTTCACACATTTGATTCATTAGAAAACTGGCAGGACTGATTTTGAAACTGTCCCCCAGAATCTATTTCTTCTGGGTCTCTACTGACTAGGAAGTTTCAACAAGTTTGCAGTCAAGCCACTGGCCATGGCTGTGCTCATCTGAAGAGTTGCCTGGCAAGATCTGCCTGCCATCAAGATGGCTTATTTACACGGCCATGGGCTGAAGGTATCAGTTCCTCTTCCATGTGTACTTCTCCTTAGCAAATGGCTTTCCCCACGGTGAATAAATTTAGGAGTGACAAAAATGGAAACTGCAATGTCTTCTGTGATCTATCAATCACACACACCAAGCCTAGTTTAATGTGGAGACGGCTATATAAGGTTGTGAATACCAGGAGGCAGGGACCATTGGGAGCCATCTTGATGGCTGGGCACCACACTTGACTTTCAGGAAATTAAATTTTACTGTGTTATCTCCCACTTAGAACTGGGAATCACCCTTGCTGGCTCCTATTCTTCCTGGCTGGAATTAGTAATTAAAAAGTACTCACAAAGACGGCCTGGCCAAAATGGTTTCACCAATGACTTCTATCATAAATTCAAAGAACTAAAACCAATTATTCACAATATCTTCCAAAAAATATAAGAGGAGAAAGCACTTCCCGACTCATTCTGAGAACAGTATTACCTACACAAAACTAGACAAAGACATCACAAGAAAACTATACACTACGTCTTTAAATATGGCTTCAAAACTCCTCAAGGGTTTATATATGGAACCCATTTTAAAAAATTCTACAACATGACCAAGAGGGATATATCTCAGAAGTACAATATTGGTTTAATATCCAAAATCAATGTATCATCAGAATAAAAAATAAAAACATGATCACCTTACCAGATGAAGAAAATCTATTAGACAAAATCAATACCCTCTCATGATAAAACACTCAATAAAGCTGGGTATGGTGGTACACACCTATAATCCCAGCAACTTGGGAAGCTAAGACAGGAAGATTGCAAGTTTGAGGCCAACCTCAGCAACTCAGCAAGGCCCTCAGCAACTTAGCAAGATCCTGTCTCAAAATAAAAATAAAAATATTTAAAACACAAAAGGGGACCGGGCCCAGTGGTGCATGCCTGTAGAACTAATGGCTTGAGAGACTGAGACAGGAGGATTGCAAGTTCAAAGCTAGCCTCAGCAACATTGAGACGCTAGGCAACTCAGACCCTGTCTCTAGATAAAATATAAAATAGGGCTGGGATGTAGCTCAGTGGTCAAGTGTTCCTGAGTTCAGCCCCCCCCCCCAAAAAAAAAACCAATAAAAATAAATAAATTAGGGAAGGAAAGAAGGAAATTTTCTTAACCTGATCAAGGGTACCTACAAAACACACAGAGATTGGAGACTGGATGCTATCTCTCTATACTGTAGCTCTTCCTACAAACACATATCCATGATAATTTATAAATTAGGCACAATAGAGACTGACAATAATAAGTTATGGGATGGAACAATCATAATAACATAGTATAATAAAAATGTTAAAATGTGTGAAGTGCTTATGTTTGAAATGTTCCATTTGATATTTTCAGACTGCAGTTAACTGCAGGTAGCTAAAACTGTGGGTAAGCAGGGGCTACTCTAGTTCTGTAAATAACATGATTTTGCCTTTAAAAAATGCTAAGGAATTCCTGAAAAACTATTAGACCTGATAAATGAGTTCAGCAAGATTGAAAGATATAAGATCAACAAACAAAAAATCAATTATATTTCTACACCCTTGCAATGAAGAATCTGAAAATGAAATTAAGGAAACAAATCCACTCACAGCATCGAACAGAATGAAATACCAAGAATAAATTTAACCAAGCTCATACACTCAAAACTACAAAATACTGTAATGTAAATGAAAAATAAACAAGTGGAAAAACTTTAAATGCTCGTGAATAGAAGACTTAATATTGTCAAGAGGGCAATACTCCCTAATTAATCCACAGATTCAGCACATTTTCTCTTAGAATTCCAGCCAATTTCTTTGTAGAAATTGACAATATGATTCTATGGAATTACAAAGGGCTGAGTGTCTCAAACAATCATGGGAAAAGGAAATTCACAATCACAAAAATTACCAAAAAGCGACAGTAAAGTGCACTTACAACTTTCAAGGGGGATTGGTGCCAGGACATGTGGCCCCATACCAAAATCCGTGGATGCTCAAGTCCCTCATATAAAATGGCACAGAAGTTTCATATAGCCTATACACATCCTTTTGCAAATTTTAAATCATCTCTACATTACTCATAATACCTTCTAAATGTAAATAATCATTATAATGAGTTGCTTAGAGAATAATGATAACTTGAAAATGTCTGACATGTTCAGTATACATGTAATTTTTTTTTCTCTCTGAATATTATCATCAACTGTTGGTTGAATCCTTGGATGTAGAACCTGTGGGTATGCAGGGCAAACTATATTGACACAAAAATTATGAAATAGAACTCGACGTTGAGAAACAAAACCATGTACCTACAATTAACAGATTTTCAACAAAGGTGCAAAAACCATTCAATGGAGAAAGACCAGTCAAAAAATGGAAGCAGGACAATGGATATCCACATGAACAAGAATGAATCTCCTACCTCTGATCATATACAAAAATCTACATAAAAGGGATCAAAGACTTAAACATAACAACACAAACTAACATTTTAAGAACAAAACACAGTGATAAACCTTCATAAACCTAGTTTTGAAGGTAGACTGATGACATAAAAAACACAAGTAACACAAAGAAAAATGAATAAACTGGGTTTCATAAAAATAAAAAAAGTTATGCATCAAAGGATACTACCCAGAAGGTTAGAAGACCACCCACATAATGGGAGATACAATTTCATACCCACTAGGTTAGCTATAATTTTTTATAAAGGGAAATAAGTGTTGGTTAGAATGTGGAAGAATTACCAACCTCACACGTTACTGGTGTAAAATGTGGCAGTCACTTTGGAAAACAGTCTGGCAAATAACCTAAGCTCTCAATCAGGCTGAAATCAAGGTAGCAATGTTACTCCTGCAAAGCCCTTTTACAATTCATGTCTGGTTTTGGGCAACTACAGATCTGCTTTTCCATATTTTTTCTTATTTGAATTTTATAGAAATTAGTATTAATCATTTTTCTCTTCATCAAACATGGATAATAATATGTATTTGACAGAGTGAGGTAAGAAACCCAGATAATATGTATAAAGGCTCCAGCACGGTGCCTGGCACAAAACAGGCACTATTATTACTGTAGTAATTCCTTCTAGAAGAATTAAAAGTTTCTAAGACACTGCTGATCTTTTAGTTTCTAATGTATATGCATTTCAGATATTTATTCAAAACAGGTTCTGAAAAGGAGAGAATTGTTGGGCATTAAGTATCTCTGAAGAAAAGACAAACAGTACATAAAGGGTCAACTGATGTTTAGGGGAAATTATTCTACCATAGTTGAACGTTAAGAAATTATATGTAGGCTATAATGTTTTATTTGAGTGGTGGTTGCCACTTTGTTTTTGTATTTATCATAGCTCACATTTAGCAGTCACATATGAGCTCCTGCTTACCAGTCTGGATAGGATTCACCACTTGCTCAGGCTGGAAGCAAAAGTTTGTATTTTCTGGCCAGTTCTGGCTGTTCGGATATTCCTGGTAGGCCATTTTCTCTTCGAGGAATTCAGTTGGAGACCCTTAACATACAGACACAAAGCAAATTACTAAAGAAAAGTTTCTGTAAATTACTATAGGAAGAACAATACGACACAATCACATTTGGCTAACATCTTTGAGAAAATATTTTTAAATTTAAAAATAGAAAGAAAGCCAGGCATGGTGACACACACCTGTAATCACAGCTACTCAGAACGTTCAGGCAGAAGGAACCCAAGTCCCCTTTCTCAAAATAAAAAATAAAAGGGTTGGGGATGTAGCTCAGTGAACAGCCCTGGGTTCAATCCTTAACACAGCCAAAATAAATAAATTAATTGAGTAAGTAAGTATTGGAAGCCTAGATTGTTTTCTGTGGGAAGGAGGAGTGTTATAGGGGATTGAACTCAGGGTCACTTAACCACTGAGCCACCTCAGCCCTTTTTAGTATTTTATTTATAGACAGGGTCTCACTGAGTTACTTAACACCTTGCTTTTGCTGAGGCTGGCTTTGAGCTCGTGATCCTCCTGTCTCAGCCTCTCAAACCACTGGGACTACAGGCATGAGCCACAATGCCTGGCTTACAAGTGTCTTTTTTAAAGATGGAAACTGATCATCATACTCCATCGATAAATGAATTTAGAGACATTCTTAATAAATAACCAAAGTACAAAATAAGTATGCCTTTTCTTAAGACACAACTTAAGATCAGGGGGAAAAGAAAAATGAAGCAATACATTTCTGATATACTGTCTATCAACTGAAATGGCAAAGGAGACTTAAAGATCATGCAGTGTGGTCCTGCATATTTATGTCTAAGAACCTCCAGAAGGTTTAAATGCATCATCTCCATTCCATTAAAGTCCTCCTTTACCCACTGCCTCCTTTTGTTCTCTCTTCAAGTGTTATGTCTTTTTTTGTCCCTCCTTCAGCAGCAAGAGAGCAAACTTCAAATAGCATTTCAATCTAAGTTCCACAGAGCTGTGGTAGAATTGGGTTAACTGTGTGCTTTAATTTCCTATAATACTAATGTAATTACTATTTCAGCAAACATATAGGGCCAATTTTTTATAGGTTACATTTATTTTTAGAAAATGCAAAGAAGAAATCTCAAGGCTGACTGAAACAACAGAGTCAAGCACTGGGTAAAATTCTTAGGAGAAACAAGAACGAATCCACTGGTGATTAGGCAGCTCTGAGTTAACGGGCCCAAGAAATGTAAAACAATTTTTTTTTTTTAATATTTTATTTTTTAGTTTTCGGCGGACACAATCTTTGTTTGTATGTGGTGCTGAGGATCGGACCCGGGCCGCACGCTTGCCAGGCGAACGCGCTACCGCTGAGCCACATCTCCAGCCCCGAAAAACAATTCTTAAAAATGTGGATTAGGGCTTTGCATCCAAGTTTTCCTTAAATTTATATCCTTTTAATACTTTTTTACAAATATAATATCTTTACTTTGTTTATTCTTATGTGGTGCTGAGAACTGAACCCAGTGCCTTACACGTGCTAGGCAAGTGCTCTACCACTGAGCCATAACCCCAGACCCCTTTAATGCTTAGTCTATTTTCATATCTGTCGTTTTCTAATGAAGAACAAAATTGGGATTGTTCATGGGAAATTAAAAAAAATTTTTTAAATAGAAAAATAAGAAATATCAATAATAATTACCTAATTTTATTCTAAATGGTTGACAGGCTGCTTCTTTATGAACAATATTTATGCTGCTCATAGTTTATATGCTACTAACAAAGGAGAAATTAGTGACGACTTCTATTTCATACTCCTGCTACTTTCCTTATCTGCTTTCTCAATGGTAACTTTAGAACACTGGAGTAGAAAGGACCCAAAGGAGTAAACCCATACCACATTTGTCCCAATAATTCATTTATGTATTTAAATATTTTGAATCAGGTACTGGTGAAAAAGCAGCAAAAATGAAGAAAAACCCTGCTGTCATGGAGTTCAGATCACCCCCATCATTATATTGTGCTTATACACTATGGAAGAAGCAGTATTTGTGTAGTTGAGGGTTTCTGATGATGTAAGTCTCTGTAAGCCTCAGTTTTCATATCTAATACCTGCTTTACCTACTTCATAAAGGTTGAAAGGGGATATGTTAAAGTACTCAGAAAATTGTGACAAACATGGTAAAATTATTGCTAATCCTACCATTAGTATGGATTATAGGGGATAAGCATCTACAATAGCAGGTACTAAGTCCTGCTACTGGGTTTTAAAGAATGGTCACATGATATGGTCATGGGATGATCTAGAAATACTTCCTGTAGATCAGAACATAGCTGAACCTGAAAAGACACTTAGAAGGCTATGTACTTTGAGCTGGGAGTCGGTGGAAGACACACAGTAGGAAAGACATTGAGCATAGCAAAGTAACTGTTTTTAAGCCCATGGGCATGAATGGGAAAATAAGGAGCATACCATTTTGGCTGGAACACACTTATGGAGGACAATAGTTCTCCATAAAGGGCAGCTAGAGGATGACTAGTGCTTCACAGGCCAAACAGAGTGGAACCCAAGGTTTGTCTATTTGCATTTCCTAAAAGAGAACCAGCCCATCTCTCTCCAGGTGGTCCTAGTGTTGTCAATCATGGTATTTTGCATCCTTATCCAAAGGAATGTACTTGTGATACAAGCAGGCCCAAAGTCCTTTGCAGAAATTTGAACCATAATGATATATTTGGGCTGCCAGTGGCTATCTTTCCCATTGTTTTTTCTTTTTTGATGAGGGAGGGGGCAGTAACTGGGGATTGACCCCAGGGATACTTTACCACTGGGCTTCATCCCCAACTCTTTTTGAGACCTTCTGGAGAAGGAACATGCAGGTCTGGTATTCAGATGTGAAAGTCTGCAGATTTCTACTTTCCAGAGTGGTGCTGTAGCTTGAGTGGCTCTCTCTAAGGGGCCACATTCAAAATAGCCAGCCTCCAGCTATCAGTACCATTAATGAACAGGTTTGACAGAGGCTCATTCCCATATCTTCATTCAATGATGATGACCTAGATTTCATTCTTAAAACTCCTTAGCAAAGGCAGGCAAAGTACTTTATGATATAGATAGCCTTCAGAATAAGTGTGGGATTTTTTTTTAAATAACACAATTGTACTCTGCTCAGAGTCTATTTCAAGGAAAGAATAAAAAAATGTAATTCTAAACAAGAAGCAATTTACACAATACAATGGAAACAACCCTTACTTTCACCATCAGTCATCCTTAGATACACTGGTTTTCCTATGAAAGCAGAAATGAGTGGGGTGGGGTGGCGCACGACTATAATACCAGCTACTCAGGAGGCTGAGACAGGAGGATCAAAAGTTTGAGACCAGTCCTAGGAATTCAGAGAGATCTTTTTTTCTCAAAATGGAAAACTAAAAAAGCGGGGCTGGGGATATAGCTCAGTTGGTAGAGTGGCTTACCTTGCATAGACAAGGCATAAATAAATGTATAAATAAATAAATAAATAAATAAATAAATAAGGGGCTGGGGATGCAGCTCAGTGGTATACTGCCCATGTTTAATCACCATTACCATAAAAATGAACAAATGAATGAATGAATGAATGAAAGTAACTTTGGAGTTGACATGGGCTGGCTCCTATTTCCATTAAATTGAAGGCATTTACAGAAAGGCAAATGGCTAAAAGTTTAAAATACTCATTAATCAAATAACATATCTATGAATTAAACCCAGGACTAATTCCATCAGAAAACATTGGTATCAAGTGCATTACAGACCAATGGATTTTAAAATAACATACTACAAAAAGTACACTGAGGCTTGATGCAGTGGCCCACATTTATAATCCCAGCAACTCGGGAAGCTAAGGTAAGTGGATCACAAGAGCAATGCCAGCCTCAGCAATTTAGCAAGATCCTAAGCAAAATTCAGTGAGGACCTGTCTCAAAATTAAAAAGGGTTGGGGATGTAGCCCACTGGTAAAGTGTCCCTGGATTTAATCCCCAGTACATTCTCCCCTTCCATAGACCAAAAAAAAAGTTCACTGATAGGGTTTCAAATTCTACATTGCAAATAACCTGTAATAAAACTAGCACCTGTCCAGTTTTATTGTCACATCAGAGAATATCCATAATTACCTTTAAAAAAAAATACCAAAACATTCCTCCTCCTAAACTGCATGTATCAGTCAATCCAAACAACATATTGTAACACAATTGCAGAGGCAATTTTCAAATATGAGAATCCAGCAGTGATCTACTAAATTACTCATTACATTAAAGAGATTTAGAAAAATGTAAAACACTACTACTCTTCTTACTATTCTCTTTCTCTCTCTCTCTCTCTCTCTCTGGTGGTAGTACTGGGATTGAACCCAAGGGAGCTCTACCATTAAGCTATATGCCCAGCACCTTTTATACTTGTGATCTGCTTCAGTCTCCTGAGTTGCTGGATTTACAGGCATGGGGGGAGGAGGGGGAGGAGAAGAAAGAAGAAGGAGGAGGGAGGAGAAGGAAGAAGAGAGGGGAGGAGGGGGGGAGGAGAAGAAAGAAAACTTAAATTGAGGCAGAAGATTAAGTTCTAGTACTAGCTCTTTGGAGAGACCTTAGTTAATCTGTTTAATCCCTCTGAACACTAAGGGATACCTTAGATTATCACTGCAGAGATAAGACAAAAGTGACAAGGAAAACTGATATACATCTGTATCTATGTTACAGAACAAAAAATAAATCAATTGTGTTATCAACTAGTGATTTTAGAAAAGCAAAAGTTCTTCCTATATTCTTTCAAGTTTTCTGCAAATTTGAAATTATTTCAAATTAAAATAAAAATACTTCTATTTTCTAAAAAATAAAAAAGTGACAGGAGGAAGCTAACTCCTGGTTTAGGGCTGTAGTTCAGTGGTAAAGCACTTGCCTTGCATGTGTGAGGCACTGGGTTCAATCCTCAGCACCACATAAAAATAAATAAATAAAATAAAGGTATTGTATACATGTACTACAACAACAACAAAGAAAGCTAATTCCTTTCTAATCCTCAACCAAATCTACTTTTTATAATTAGAAT